CTTTAAATGCTTTGTGGGGAGCCTGGGCATGTGGAGAAAAAACACATCACAACTGAAGGGGGCGGAGAGGTCCCCGTTTTTTCTCTTGGGGATGCCGAGCAAACAAACAGTTGTGCCCCTGTGCTTTCACTGTGACCCATCATGTGGTCAGGTGTGGAACTTCTCACTTGTGTCTTGGTACTCAAAGACTTGTATTTTGGATTTCTGGATTAAGGATATTCACCCGAGGCGCCAGCCACATACACCTGAGCTGGCGGGTTCGAATCCAGCCCAGACCCACCAAACAACAATGAAGGCTGCAACCAAAAAACAGACGGGCATTGTGGTGGGCGCCTGTGGTCCCAGCTACTTGGGAGGTGGAGGCAGGAGAATCACTTGAGCCCAGGAGTTGGAGGTTGCTGTGAGCTGTGATGCCACGGTTCTCAAGGCAACAGCTCGAGGCTCTGTCTCAAAAAAAAAAAAAAAAAAAAAAAAGGATATTCACCTGGTATTTGACATCACAGTGTAATTGTTTTCCTGGGTGGACCTCAGGTTCAGAATTGTTTAATTTATCATTAATGTTCTTTGACTTAGAATTTCATCTTAGGAAGCAGAGACTTGTGTGCACACACCGACCTGAAAACTGAGCAGCTACAGAAGATGTGCCATGAGCCCTGCACGTTCACGGGGGCGGGGGAGAGCAGGGGGGGCAGCGGGGTAAGGCTTATTAGAGAATTATTGGGTTATAAAAACAGAACTTCACTGAGAAAGAGAAACTTGACATACATGCTGAGGAAAGTATTTTAGATGACAGATACTGTAAAAAATATGAAGATTCCAAAATGAGATGCAATTTGAGGACAGGAGTGAAAGTTAAACAGCAGGGAGATTTGCAAATGACTAGGTGCATTTTGTGTGCTGGGGGATGGAGATGTGCACAGGCTTATATGTGTACAGATGTCCATTTGCAAGTTTAGGGACCAGACCCAGAGCTGGCACACTCCCAAACAATACTACCCTCAGGTGGCCCCTAGGCTTTAGACATTTAATCCATGGTAACAGTTTTGGTTAAGACTAAAATATTGAAGAAATAACTTACTAGCTCTTTGAGCTGACTATGCTACTGCCAGCCATCCTTTCCTTTGCCTTCTGAAATGGGAGGCGTTAAGTATTTCCTGACTACTCTAGTAGAGAACTGGAGTCATCTCTCTCACCACCAGCGTGAGGAAACTGTAAGCCCCATCGCTGAGCCTTGCTGGCTCACATGCAGTGAGCCGTCATAGCCGTTTGCTTGTGTTTTAATCTCGCGGCCATTAGCAGTTTGACATTCATTTAATAAGCCCTGAATTGTCACTGAAAATGAGTACCAAAGATAGGATTTGCTAATTCATTCAACTAAGTACTTACAATGACCCTACTTTGTCCTGGTCACTATTCTAGGCACTCATTGTACCAGAACTGAATAAAAGAAACACGTCCCTGTATCCGCAGAGCTGAGGGTCTCACGGGGCTGGTGGGATTTGTGAAGCAAACACAGATGAAATGCTTTTGCCCTGGTGATAAGTGCTGTGAATGAGAGCATGCTGAAGGAGACGGGCTTTTCAGTGGACAGGGATGGCCTCTCCGAAAAGGCAGCATTTGTGCTGAATGAAGGATGAAGAGGACTCAGCCAGAGGAAAGGCAGGTAGAGGGCGAGGTGGGAATGGGGACTGGCTGTGGGGGAGAAAAGGCCTTGCTGAGGACCTGAAGCAGGAAAGGGCTGATGAATAAATGGGCAAGACGGATGTGGCCCCTGAGGGATTAAGTTCCACTGTGATGTATCTACACATTAACACGTTACCTCATGACAGGTACAATAATAGTGGCTTTTGGTAAGTGCTGACTTAGTTCATTGGGGTCATGCACATTGGAAAGCCTTGGTCAAGTAGGAGGTGTTTAAGCCAGGTTTTACAGATGGATCAGTGTAAGGAGTGTAGGGGGAATGTCTTTAGTAACTGACTTTAGTAAAAAAAGGCTTATGGTTCTTGGTGTTACCAATTTATTTTGGCAACTATAATATAGGTATTATAAATTATTTCTGGAACCTTAAGTGAGCACAAAAAAATTAAAATACAGGAATGATAGCATTCAGAAAATTGTAGGTTTTTAGTTTTGTCTGGTTTTTTTTTTGAGACAGAGCCTCAAGCTATCCCCCTGGGTAGAGTGCCCTGGCATCACAGCTCACAGCAACCTCCAATTCCTGGGCTCAAGTGAGTCTCCTGCCTCAGCCTCCCAA